CTGACCTGTGTTCCTTCTCCAGGCTCTGGGCATCTATTGCTGGCCCTGGCATCAAACTGGTAGGAGTGGGATGGATTGAGGTTCCCCTCCCCGGCAACTTTAGTTTAAAGCCTTAAATATAGGCTTTAGAAATAAAAATTGTATATGAACTGAAGTGTACTTTAAACTTCAGAGCTGTAAATTTATCAGTCATTCTTGCTTCTGTGTTACATTCACCCAACTCACCTCTATTTAACCTGTATTTTAAAAATTCTATGGTTTAATTCTGCAAAATGTATAATTAACAATCAACTCTAGATAACTTCGAAGTTGTTCTGTGTTTTTTGCCTCTGTTGATTTTTCTTTTTGAAGTCTCTCACTGTAGACTACTTTTTTTATAAATAGGGTCCATGGTTTCCGGATATCTGCTGGCATTTCTGTCAGCACTTGTTTATGGTTCTTTTTAGTTTCTCTTGTGTAACATTACAGTAATTTTTTAACTGAGTCTCTACTTCATTGTCACATACGTTCTATCAGTAATGTATATTGTTTTAGAAATATCCCATGGGTAGCCATTCTAATTAAATTATTTTTAAAATGCAGTAAGTAGAACAGTTATTTTAGTTACGTTAGTGGCGTAAGTAGTGAACTGTCGTCCCTTGTCCTCCTTTTCCCAGTTACAGTAAGTTCATGCTAATCATTGATCAGACAATTAGAATTTGCAGGCTTCTATAAAAGAAAGATTAAATAAACAGTTGCAGTTTCCATTATTTTCCATAATGTTTCTGCTAAATCTGTTGTAAAATATAACATATAAAAGAAAGTGGTCTTTTTAGAATACAGTTTGTTGGAATAATAATGGGGAAAACTTTGTCATAAGCTCTACTGCAGAAAAAGCTTCTGAAAATTTCTTAAAAAACCTTTAGTTTTTTTCTGCATAAACTTTATCTGAAGCCCTAAATGGTGTCATTTTAAGATTATAAAAATATAAATTATTAATGCTGATTTTTTATTTTATTTTTTTTTTTTTTCAGCCAGGAATTGATGAAATTAGGACAAATTACCTGGTTAGTGGCTACTAGGCTAGGGCAGCTTCTAAAAAGACACTGTAAGATCTTAGGCCTCCACACCAGTTAGACTGATTGGCACATGTAAATTATCAGTAGAAGTCTGAGGGTTTAGACGTTTGGAGCCTAATCAATAGCTATTTACACTTACATGGAACAACTCTTAACATTCATGGAAAAGAGGGAACTGAAATAAAAAGGCTTGAAAGCAAAGCTTCCAAGACTAGGTTTTCGAAATACCTTTTTACAACCCAGAGTGAAATGGCATCCCTAACACTTGAGCTGCAAAATTCTGTACCACTGAGGTTGCTTTTTACCTTAATTTCAGAGTTTGATCTTCATGCATTTTTTGTTTGTTTGATGTGGGGTTTTTTTTTAATGTTTTTGCAACTTCCAGGAGCAGCATTCCTGGCTATTACAACAATTTATGCAGAGAGTGGTTCAGGATTTGTGTTGCCGAGCGCCTCTGCCAAAGCTGGTGTAGAAGCAATGAGCAAGTGAGTAATATAGCAAAATGTGTGTTCTGCTTTTCACATCCTTGAGATAGGGTAATTGGTCTATAAAAATGGAGCTAGTTGGTATAGTCCTCCTGTTCCACTGTATCATAAGAGAACCTTCTAGTCTCCAGTATCCTAGCAAGAAAATAGTATACTGACAGCTCCTTACAGAAGGAAGTATTCACTGCTATTACTGTGATGCTTTTTATCACAAGGACGAGTGGATGATTTTTATCACAAGGACGAGAGAAGGACAAGTGGAACTACTTCTTTTGGCAATAGCGAGTTCAAAAGTTTCAATTACAGAGTTTCGATAATCAGATTCTCTTGCATTTTCATAGGTGAACCTAAAGCACTTAAAGCACCTAAAGCACTTAAAGACAGTTATTAGGGGAGCTGTACGAGGTCTATAGTGCTTTCCATTTTCTTTTGTCTCAAGAAAAGAAGTGCTTGTATTTGGGTGGAGTATACTGCTGCTTCACCTATTTAGTTTCATAAAGAAATTTATTTCCTATCACTATTTTAAATTAAGATCTGTGGTTATACTTAATTCAAAACAGTATCATGACGTATCCATGTTACTTAGCAAACAAAATCGTTATTAACTATAGGACAGTCCTTCATAGCAAATAGATCCTCCTCTGCACTTTGGCAGAAGGAATTGAACAGTTTGGCAGCCTTTTAGTAACTAGAATTCTTTATCCAGGAAAAAATGAGGGAATGAGCGATGGTCTCGATTTCTGTTCGATAGAGGTGCAACTGAAGTGTGTACTTTTCAGAGACTTTATGACCCAGCTAATTTGTTCACCGTAGTGAATCTATCTGAAGTACTACTTATGCAGAGAAAATGTTGCCATAAAGCAAAATTATTCTACTGGTCCCATTTTAGAATGTAACCTCCGTTTTGTGTTATTTCAAAACATCTAATATGAGAGCTATGTTGAAAATGTTAGAAATGTATACTTGCGGGATAGTCTAAATTATGAGAGAAAGATGGTGGCCTAACAGTTGTTAGTCAAGGAGTTTAGGTGACAAAATCATCTGTATGATTTGTGAGGGAGAAAGAATTGCTCCTTAATGTTGCTTTATCTATGATGCATCTATTAAAACAATATTCCTCTGTTTGTGAATGTGATTTTTTTTTTTCCCTTCTCTGAAATGTTTTTGTTAAGAACAAAAAACCTCTTAAGTAGAAATGCCTGTTTCAGGAAAATGCTGGTATTTACACATTTGATTCAGTTTTAAGTTGGTTTTTTTTTTTGCTGGATAGCATTATTAAAATATTGTGTTTAAAATATTGATGCATTCTGTTAATGAATTTTTAGGTCTCTTGCGGCTGAATGGGGTAAATATGGGATGAGATTCAATGTGATTCAACCAGGTCCAATAAAAACTAAGGTACATAGCATGAAGTGGAACACAGCCTTGAATATGCTTTGTAGTACAGACTTAACTTTAAGATAGTCTAACCTTTTCTGTAACTGTTAAATTCAAGTATGATTTCCTTGGTAGTCAAGACTGCGCTGGAATATTGAACACACTACCTCTCAATAATTCTTTCGTAAAATAGAATTTCTTGAACTTCTGAAACCTGCCACTGCCTCTTCTACTACATTAATATAAATGAAATCTTTTTTTTAGTGTTTCAAAGAAATGATATATCAAAATATTTAATGTTGATTCTTATCAACTGTACGTACCTAGTTTGTCAAGTGAAGTGAGTTCTTACACTTGATGGAGTAAAAGTGCCTATTTCTGCCTGAACTCCTAATTTTTAAACAAAACATCTCATCAATTCCAAAATTTCAGAATCTCTTTTAGGTATATGAGAACAGAATCTCACTAGTTTTGCTGAAAATCACAAAACTAGAAAGAGGAAAAACTAATTCAGCAAGGAAATGTGAAGCTTTGATATGAGTGAAAAGGAGGACTGGAGGGTTTGAAAGAAGTAATCCAGACCAGCTGGAACAGGAAGAAAAAAGAAAGCAGTCCTGAAGGAGGAGAGAGGAGGATCCATTTCACGTTGAATCAAAATATTACAATTATGAGCAGTAACAGCTAATAATGGTATTACTACTACCTGTAAAATGTTTCACGGTTGGTTTTGCTGTTGTTTTGGGAGTAGGGGTGCAGGGTTGCTTGCTTTTTTTTTTTTTTTTTTTCCTCTTGTCAGTATTACATGCTACACTGGATGACTCAGTTTTACCTTTTTTGACTGTAAAGAAAGATAAAGTGGCAGTATCAGCAGAGTTATAAGAATGCTGAATCAACATTACAGGATCAGACCAAAAGCCCTCCAGGCCTTGTATCTGGTGGATTTTTAGGCAAGAGTAGAAGAAAAACATTTAATGACATTTCTTCTTTATGTCTCCAGCCTCTGGCAGTCTATGGCCCAGGGAGTTTGATACAGTTAATATCTCTTCATAGTGTAATCATATCGATGGATTTTTTTCTTCCTTTAGTTTGTCCTGTTCCTTTTTGAATCCATACAAACTTCTGGCATCCACTATATCATGTGGCAAGATCACTTTAATTTATAGATTCGCATAACTTTTGGCAAGTTAACTGCTTTAAATGTCAATATTTCTACCTCCTGTTAATGTTTCTGATTTAAACTAATAGCATATATCCCACTTGAGATACTGTGTGTTCTTAATAAAGTACTACATTTGTCATATTGGTTCCAGGTTAAAATTTCCCTGAAAGCATAAAAAGGCAGACCGGCTTTACTTAAAACAGCATATTGCAAAGTCGAGGCTTTCTGCCTTAGGGGCTACATCCATGTCTTTAAAAAACACTGTTGTAAGTCATGATAGGAAAAGAAAAAAGCGTACAAGCGCAATACCATTAAGCTGATACACTGGCATTTAAAAACATGGCAATAGAAGACTTAAATGGCGTGAGTACAGCCACAATTACATAAATCACAGTGTGCTTTAACTCTCATAACTTCAGTAACTTAACATGAATGTTACTAATACATTTCTGATTTTGCCTGAGGAGGTTGTTTCCTTGTGGAGGAGCCAGGAAGAACAAAAAACCTTCTGTTTCCCATGCCATTCTAAGCTATTCAAATACTAAAACTTCCGGTGACTTTGAGTTCTAGCCATTGGTGCAATTCAACCGAAGTTAAATTTTTTTTTTTCCCCTTTTCAGGTTTACTTACTCTGTGTCATGTATAATTTTTTTGTCACTTTTCCTGCTCCTCTTCTCTCCTTGTTCCTCTCCCCTGTCCATGCAGCAATTTTGAGTCTTGCTTATTTCCTCAAATGTTTATCAAAGGTGTTTGGGAAACAAAGATTATTAACCCCTTTTGTTTTTCGTAGATAGATGGTGGGTGACTATCCCAAACATGTTAAATTCCAGCTTATCACCCTCAGTGGATGCATATCAGTGCAACAGGGGTAAATTCTGTTCCCTACTTCTTTCTCATCCTACTGACAAAGATGGGGTAGACAGCTTACTCACAAATGTTAACTTCATATTGTTTATGCAGAGTCAAATCTCCGTTGGATTTTATTTTCTGATAGAGTTATAACTTCTTTTTTTTTCACCAAATGTGTCTCTTAATTCTCAGGGTGCTTTTAGCCGCCTTGACCCAACAGGCTCATTTGAGAAGAAAATTATTGAGAGGATTCCCTGTGGCCGTCTCGGAACTATAGAAGAAATTGCAAATCTTGCTGCCTATTTCTGCAGTGACTATGCAAGCTGGATTAATGGAGCAGTAAGTTTTAGTTGATCTTGTTTATACAATTAACCTGATGATGGTCTGAGTTTTGCTGGTATTTTTTAAAGCCCTGGTTTCAGAAATGAAACAAAAACTGTTACTTTGAAATTCTTTACAAGCCTTGTTACCCTTTTAATTGTAATGCATGATAGTTACTACCTTTAAAAAGAACTTCTAAAAATGATTGAATTACATTATTTTGAACATGGGTTTTTCTGATCCAAATCAATAAAAATTACTTTCACAGTTCATAACAAGGGAATGCTACAGAAAACCCACTATTATTAAATACACTGCTTATGCTTTTTCTAGGTTATTAGAATGGATGGTGGAGAATATGTTTCTATGGCAGGAGAATTCAATGATTTGAAGAAGGTATTAAATTCCTTGCTTGCTATTTTACATTCAAACAAATACTTAGATGTGTAATTATTATAAAGAATTCCAATAAAACGCTCTTTTCTTTTATTAGGTTACCAAAGAGCAGTGGGATATGATGGAAGCAATGATTAGAAAAACAAAAGGCTCTTAAAGTACATAACCGTGTGGTGGAGATTTTTGGAAATGAACCACTACTTTTTCATGGATATTTAGAATTAACCAATTGAGAAATAGCCTTCAAAATCTTTTGTATGCTGATTTCAATAAAATATTTTGAAATTGTCATATTTTGAATATAGCATGTATATTTTTCCCATCTACAATCTAATCTGTTGCCAATAGTGACTGAAATTTTATTGTTCTTTAGATGATGTCTTCTATAGCCATGCGTGGTCTACAATAGCTTTTTTTTAATATTTCAGAGGATTTTTTTGTTTCTCAGATATATGTCTCTTAATATTGTAATTCCAGTAGCATTTTAGCACTATCATAACTGAATATAATTGTTAATCTGAGGAAAAACTAAGAAATAAGTCCTAATCTTCACACTTCAGTAGTAAGTCCTAAACTTGCAAATAACAAAGTTTCAAGTTATCAGCAGGACTACATACACTGAGATAGGATATAACTCCTGTGGTTGCTTATAAAATCTTGAAATACGTAACCATCTTGGTCTCATCTTGTGCTGACATTTTCAGTCTGTTAATTATCTTACACTGAACTTTAAAAATGGCATTTAAGGACTGGCAGTGCCTTTCTAAGGAGCTCGCTCATTGTCATGATTAAGTTAATGTTCTTGAAAATGAGAAACTAAAAATCATTTGCTATTAATGTGTGTGTGACTATGGGAGTCTCAATAAAAAATGTTTTACTTAAGACTAGTAAAGGACATCAGTAAATTGGGACTGAAAGTGTTGAAACCTCATTGATTGAGATTTATGGAAATCCCTAGGTTTCATTTGCATTCACAGACTGGTACTAAAGAAGCTTTAAGATGGCATTACCTCTGAATCTAGTCAGTTTATCCATCCCAAATAAGCAGGTGATTAAAAACAAAACAAACAAAAATCAAACAAACAATGTTTATTGCTGTCCCTTTCTTAGTATTATTACATTTTCCATATTAGGGGGTTGCAGTTGTTTGTCCCTCCTGCTTCAAACAATGGATGGAATTCTTCAAAGAAATTAACAGGTTGTGTTGGGTTTGTGTGGCAAGGTTTTGGTAGCGGGGGGGTTACAGGGGTGGCTTCTGTGAGAAGTTGCTAGAAGCTTCCCTCATGTCCGATAGAGCCAATGCCAGCCGGCTCCAAGATGGACCCACCGCTGGCCAAGGCCGAACCAATCAGCAACGGTGGTAGTGCCTCTGGGATAAAATATTTAAGAAGGGGGGAAAAAAACCCTAGGCAATTGCAGCCAGATAGAGGAGTGAGAAAATGTGAGAGAAACAACTCTGCAGACACCAAGGTCAGTGAAGAAGGAGGGGGAGGATGTGCTCCAGGCACCGGAGCAGAGATTCCCTTGCAGCCTGTGGTGAAGACCATGGTGAGGCAGGCTGTCCCTCTGCAGCCCATGGAGGTTAACGGTGGAGCAGATACCCACCTGCAGCCCGTGGAGGACTCCACACTGGAGCAGGTGGATGCGCCCAAAGGAGGCTGTGACCCTGTGGGAAGCCCGTGCTGGAGCAGGCTCCTGGCAGGACCTGTGGATCCGTGGAGAGAGAGGAGCCTGCAGTGGAGCAGGTTTTCTGGCAGGAATTGTGACCCCATGGGGGACCCATGCTGGAGCAGTCTGTTCCTGAAGGACTGCATGCCATGGAAAGGACCCACGCTAGAGCAGTTCGTGAGGAAGAAGCCGCTGAGACCATGTGTGATGACCTGACCGCAACCCCCATTCCCTGTCCGCCTGCACCACTGGGGGGGAGGAAGTAGAGAAAATTGGGAGTAAAGCCCAGGAAGAAGGGAGGTGTGGGGGGAAGGTGTTTTAAGATTTGGTTTTATTTCTCATTATCCTACTCTGATTTGATTGGCAATAAATTAAACTAACTTCCCCAAGTTGAGTGCGTTTTGCCCGTGATGGTATAGAATCATAGAATCATTAAGGTTGGAAAAGACCTCTAAGATCATCGAGTCCAACCATCAACCATAATTGGTGAATGATCTCTCCCTGTCCTTATCTCAACCCACGAGCCTTTCCTTATATTTTCTCTCCCCTGTCCAGCTGAGGAGGGGAGTGATAGAGCAGCTTTGGGGGGCACCTGGCATCCAGCCAGGGTCAACCCACCACACAGGCTCTGGCCTTTACAGCCTGAAGTCCATGCCTTTTTTTTTAATTGTTTAACCCGAGCTCCAGACCGTCCACATAAAAGCATGGACATAGCTGTATGTGCTTTGAAATTGATACAGTGATTTAAGAGTTAGGAGTATAGAAGCAATTCAAGGATGTCTTCCTTCAAGTGCTGACAACCGTCTTGTCACTGTACTCACACTTCAGGCCATACTTACATATGCCAGCATCTGACTTTAAAATCATTTGATTGCCTTAATACAAAGCCGAAGTAAGCTAATATAAGTTCTGCTGAAAGGGTGGACTATATTAGTGCAGGCTTTCGTGTGCCAGCTTTCTCCTGAGAGTGATGGTCCTGTGGGGGATTGAATAGCATCTGCGCCACTGATAATAAAACAAAGCAAATGTGTTTATCATAGCAGCCTTCAAGGTGTCTCTTGAACTTAAAGTTTTTTTATGGCATCTTGGGTTTTGGTAGGTCTACTGTCAAGATCAAATTCTGATACGACAGCCATGTCTTTTCCCCAAAAGATGATTTAATTGAGAAGTTAGGCCCATATATACTGTTGTTTGCTTGTCATCCTTTGCATATACTTACATTTTCTCTTTGAATGGGACATGGTTGCATATAAGGCTTTGAATTTTTTGAATTTAATTTGCTTCTGAAGTATCTTCTACCTGTTTACTGTCCATAGCTAAACAAATGAATTATTAATTGTAAAGTGACAACAAAACATTTTTAAAGCATATATTATTCAGTGATAGAATCAGAAAGCACATTTTAAATTTTAATGAGTATCTATAATAAGAATAGAGTCTATTTTATCTTACCTATACCAATGATATCCATTTCAAACTATGCAAGTTAGTTGCTTTTAGATTCTGAACATTCTGTCTTGACAAGATGTATACAATGTGTTGATGTGGGTTTTAGAAATGGCATATATTAAAGTTACATGTTACTTGATAGTTTATAAAATATTTCCTAATATATAGGAAATATATATTTTATAATCTATATTATATATATAATAATATATAGGAAATAGATATTTTTCACTTAGTTAAGTGAAAAAACTTAACTCTGATCTAGCCATCCACTTCTGCAGGAGAATGGAATAGTCTGGCTTGGATTCATTTCCTTCATTAAATGAGTTGTTAGACTTGTTAGGGACAGGAAAGGAACATTACTATGAAGAGATGGGTCTTGAACATCTCAAGTTTATGTTTTACCTAAATACAATTTAACTGTTTATTACTAAAGTAGCAACATATGACATCTGAGCTCAGGAAAAGGACAAGAGAATGCAGCTTTATAGCAACTACCTAACCCAGGCGGTGCCTGGCTTGGCTTGGAAGTTCCAAAAGAACTTGTTCCTAAATGCCCACGAGGATGAGACTGTCCTGAAAGAGGCATAAAATATCCCTAAATCCCAAGAGGTGGCCAATCCATAAACATGCTCTGCAGTTTTATATTGCGCAGACTATCACAGTTGTGTATCACAGACTGACATAAAGCATAGTCATTACCGTTACTTTATTCAAAACACAGTAAAAATGGTAGGAGGCAGTATCTCCATTCCACACACTGTCTTACACTGACGTATTTGTCTGGGACTGTTACATTCCTGACCCTCCCTCAGTTTGCCAGTGAGCCACAAGGTAAAGGGGAGTATGAAAAAAGTATTGCTTTGCGGCATAATAATTTTATGGAGATTAAATTGGAGGGACAAGAAAGTGGAGGGATGAGTCAGAAAAAAGGTGATGGTATACATTGGAGATCGCGAATGGTTGGAGAGGGTTGCAGAGGCAGTTTAATTTTCATGGATCACAAGGAAAACTTTCCTGGAATCCAAATACCTTTTTTAAAAATTACTTTTGCATGACCCGTCAGTCAAAGGTGTTAACACTTCCATGAACTCATCTGACAGACACTCACAAAGGAGGATTCATTTTTTTCAACTGAAAAGTACATCTTGTCTGCTTGATTAAATCTTGAAATTACCCTTTTTATTTCAGTTGATGATTTACTGTCTTTGAACATGTCTGTTACAATTACTGAGATTAATTCTATGCTGTAAAAGTGGTATTGTATTATAGTAGAGGCTTATAAACAAGTTATGAAAATCATTTGAGGTTGCAAATGAGAGATTAATTATATTACCTCTTCACTATGATACTAGAACTCTTGTCAATCTTTGGTTCTCCTGTTTCTGGGAATTCCCTCTTCTTAAATATTTCATTACTATTGAGAATATTGCTATTATTTACCAATTCAAGATCTGCTTTACAAGCACAAAACGACAGTATTTGAGGGAACTGTAGGTTCATACCTGTCTGTACTGGCTTCCAAGTTCATTGGCACGTGAACTGCTTATTTATCTTTCCTTTTTTTCACATGCTGATAACACGTAAGTAAAGATGCTGAAGAGCAAGGAAATTTGTAACTTTATCTAACCCCATGGAGCTTCTTGTGTTGTAGCTGCTGAATATGTAACCCCACTTTAACGGAGGTAAAAGCCCTAATCTTTCATGTGATAATTTAATATGCAGTAAAATAAAATTATCTTTGGGATTTTAGTGCATTGGCCTGCTTTTTATTAGTGCAGAACAACTTCAGTTGATTTCAGAGGGATTTGGAGGTGCTCAGCACTTCAGAAAATCAGGCCACATGTATTTGGGTCCCTAAATATGGATTCTGAGCCTCCTCGTAGATACAGCAAGTAGGGGTGGATTTCGGTATGCCTCCACAATCAGTGATTATAACCATGATTATGATGAGAGCTTAGTATAAATGCACAAGATGCCAAATGGAAATTAGTCAGAAAAAGCTCACGTTGCCTAATGAAACAAAGATTTAATCCTAGTTTAAGTGGAGTTTAGCAGCAGCGTGTGCATATTTTGTGAGACAAGGTTCATTTTACATAAAAGTGCTGCCGGGTCTCAGCATCCTGATCTGTATTTGACATTTGCACAAGGAATATGCTGTCTAGACATTTCTTAAGCTTGCTGGGGTAATCTTTTCAAAGATAAATAACTAAGTTGTAAACAGGGGGGATTAGACCGGTGCTATGATGTCATGCTATTATGCATGAAATGTTCAGGATAGAACAGTGCATCAGTGAACGAAAGCCGAAAGACTTGCTTCAAGGCCCGTGTTCAATCCTGGTTAAATCATCAGTGAAAATTAGCATGAGAACTTCTCCATAATGGGCAGTGGTTTGTATCCCAGTTGCCAGTTGGGCAGTGTTAGTGACTTCGGATCAGGTGGGGCCCCGGAGGTGCACTGATGGACCGTGTCGTGGGCACAGCCGGAAGCAGGCACTCACTATGCCTGACCTGATACTCTTAAGGTTTACGTCTGTCAGCAAATAATTGGCATTTATAATGCCAAAGGTTTTTAAGGGGCCTAATAGTTACTGGAATTCTTTTTTCTTTTCTTTGAGCATTAGTAAAAGTTTGGTGCTTTGTGCTTTAAAATTAATAGGAAAACACCTTCTTACTTGATTTGAATAGGAAACATTGTGTTAAGTTTTCATCTGTACACATTTACACTAGAATGGGCTAAAATTTTGCACAGCATACTTGTT